TCTTGCTATATTGAGGATGAGACTCAAGTGGATCCCATGGATGCCATTAGTCCAGAATTCAGTGTTTTGGGTACGGGCATCCTGCAACTGCTGGCTCTTACTTATGTCTGTTTTGTGCTGCTACTCCCAGCATATCTTGCTAGTTCGACATACATGAGCATTTTCTCTACAGTCAGTCTGGTCAGATCACCATTGCTGAGCTATCTTAGTTCTTTGGTTATGGCACCTATTGTGTGGATCTTTTATATCTCGCTCACTTCTTTATCACTGTCTATCTTGGGGAAGTCCTTCCTACAGCCAAATTATGTTCTGATCCCTGATGTTTCAATATGGTCAGTTGACTTTGTGAAATGGTGGGCACTAAACAAAGCACAAGCATTAGCTGCAAAGATGCTAGCTGTGCATCTAAAGGGCACAATTTTCTTAAATTATTGGTTCAAGATGCAAGGAGCTCGGATTGGTTCATCTGTTGTCATCGACACAGTAGACATAACCGATCCATCCCTGTTGACGGTTGCAGATGGTGCAGTTCTTGCAGAAGGCGCTCTTGTTCAGGGCCATGAAGTCTGTAATGAAGTGCTGAGTTTTAGGCCTATCTGGATTGGCTGTGAGGCTTCGATTGGTCCTTATGCGGTGCTTCAGAAGGGAACTGTTGTGGAAGATGGAGCTGTTGTTCCACCATTGCAGAAGACTGGGGCTGGGAAATCAACACGTCGGACTAGCAGAACTTCTGTAAGCATAAAGGTAACTAAAGTATGTAGACTTCATAATCTACTTCGGTGTAATAAAACTATGATTTGTTATGGTATACAACGATAGTTTGTTCCTTCCTGACCAGAAACGTATAGTTGATTATTTCTAGACATTGAATATAGTAAGCTACAGACTTATAATTACACCATAGGCCATTTGAATTTCCTTGTGGTCTTTAACATGGATGAAGCTGCCACCAAAGAACTTCCCTACCTTTTTACATTTAGTGAAAATATTTTTTGAGATTCAGGAAGGGACATATATTTTATCAGGGAACCATAAGCAAATCATTTATGTACAAGTGGTCAAGCAGAAAAATCATATAAATTAAACAAGATGAAGGGTTTGTTTGGATTGAAGTCAATCTTTTGGCAACTTCAATAGTATTGTATAGATATTTGGTCCGATACCAAATTTTTCCCACACTAGTGCAAATTCTACTCTTAACAAATTTGGTAGTGCCGAAATTTACCAATGTTTTGGCACTTCCAGTATTTTGGTAAGACAAAAAAATGGCTTCAAACCAAACTAGCCCAAACTCTTTTCTGCATGGTGCATAGTGTCTGCGTGTGTGCATTTTCATTCGACAGTGGGGTATATATCTAACTGCCTTCAAAGTTCTCGATTGCTTCTGCAGAACATGTTTGTTCATGGCCATATTTATATAATGTTATTCGAATACAAACCGAGTATTTTTTCTTTGCAGAAAGAAGCAGCCAAAGCAAACATGATACTTGAACACCTCGTTAGCATCTACGCAGTTGGCATCCTGGGTGCTCTGTCCGGTGCAATCGTCTACACACTATACACTCACTTGTCCGGCAAAGCGGCTTCGCCTCTGCATTTCTCCTTTGCATGCATTGCTGGTGCGTTCCACTGGTTACCAGCTGCCATCACTGCCTATGCTGTTATTGTCCAGGAGACACCCACAAGTGCACTGTCATTTGCTCTCTTCACTGCCTTCGCCGACCTGAGCTATGGTGTCATCCTCAGTATTCTCACCAGTATAACCAGCAGAGCCCTTGCTGCAAAGCCTGGAACCAAGCAGAATGGCATTGCGAGTTTGATCCACCGGCGCATAACCATCTCTGCTCATGTCAGGTTTGCCAAGATGCTATCTGGAACAGAAGCCTTCTGCGTGTACCTGAGGCTTCTCGGAGCAAAGATTGGCAGGCATTGCTCTATCCGAGCCATCAATCCGGTGGCGAATCCTGAGCTGATCAGCGTCGGTGATGGCGTCCATCTAGGTGACTTCTGCAATATTGTTCCAGGGTTCTACTCCAAGGGGGGATTCACCAGTGCAGAGATTAAGGTCCAGGAGAACACCGTGGTTGGCAGTGGCAGCTTGCTCCTCCCTGGCTGTGTCCTCCAGGAGAATGTCATCCTCGGCGCGCTCTCCGTCGCGCCGGAGAACGCTGTTCTCCGGCGTGGCGGCGTCTACGTCGGGTCACAGTCTCCGGCCATGGTGAAGAACACCTTGCTTGACGAGGATGAACGGATCGAAGAGATGGATCAGGCATACAAGAAGATTGTTGGCAACCTCGCGGCGAACTTGGCCATCACCACCATGAACGTCAAGTCGAGGTACTTCCACCGCATCGGCGTGAGCGGCCGCGGCGTCCTGAGGATGTACGAGGAGATACCGTCGTTTCCCCGGCACAAGATCTTCGCCTCCGGCAAGTCCTTCCCGGTGATCGTCCGCCACAGCAACAGCCTGAGCGCCGACGACGACGCGAGGCTCGACGCCCGCGGCGCCGCGGTGCGGATCCTCTCGGACAACGACGGCGAGGCGCCTCTCCTCGACCTCACACTCAAGAGCGGCAAGGCGTTCTACGCGCGCACCATCGCCGACTTCGCCACCTGGCTGGTCTGCGGCCTGCCGGCGAGGGAGGAGCAGGTCAAGCGCTCGCCGCACATCCGCGACGCCGTCTGGGGCTCTCTCCGGAGCACCGACTCGTACACCGTGCTCCACTACTACTCCAACATATGCCGGCTGCTGCGGTTCGACGACGGCAGGGAGATGTACGCCAAGTTCAAGCTCCGTCCTGCTGATCCAGACGTCCCCGAGGACTCCGGCAAGGTGGTGCCGAGGGGCATCCTGCCGCCGGAGACCGGCGCGATCCCCAGGGACGAGGATGACACGCGCCCTCTGCTCTTCCTCGCCGACGACTTCCGCCGGAGAGTGGGCTCACCGGACGGGGTGCGCTACGTGTTCCAGCTGCAGCTCAGGGAGGTGCCCACCGACGCCGCCGCCCGCGACGTCGCCCTCGACTGCACCCGGCCGTGGGACGAGGCCGAGTTCCCTTACATCGACGTCGGCGAGGTCAGCATCGGCCGCAACCTCCCGACGGAGGAGACGGAGAAGCTCGAGTTCAACCCGTTCCTCCGGTGCCCCGAGGTGGACGTCATCCCGGCGACGTCGTGCGCGCAGAGCGCGTCCATCGACCACGGCCGCTCGCTGGTCTACGAGATATGCCAGCGCCTGCGGAACGGCGAGCCGCTGCCCGCGTCGTGGCGAGCTTTCCTGGAGCAGTCGGACACCAAGATCGACCTGTCAGGATGCCCGGTCGCTGCCGCCGCGACACCCACAAGGTCTAACGCCGGCGACGCCACGAAGGTGACGCTGGCCAGGACGTGGTACCAGGCGCTCTGGGCCACGCTGTGCCAGCCGCTGCTGCAAACGCTGGTGCCGTACTCTGTCCTGGGCCTCGTCATCTTCCTCCCGCTCAGGGGCCTCCTCGCCGTCGCCGCGGCCACCCGCTTCCCGCTCTACTGGCTCCTCCCGGCGTTCTGGGCCGCGTCGGGCGTCGCCGCCATGGCCACGTGCGCGGCGGCGAAGTGGGCGCTGGTCGGCAGCAGGGTCGACGGCGACACGGTGCACATCTGGTCGCCGGCCGTGTTCCTGGACACGGTCTGGCAGGCCGTGCGCGCCGCCACGGCGGAGTACTTCGCCGAGCTGACGCCCGGGTCGGCGCCGTTCGCGGCGTGGATGCGGGTGATGGGCGCCTCCGTGTCCCCCGGCGACGGCGTGTACGTGGACTCCATGGGCGCGCTGCTGAACCCGGAGATGGTGCGCCTGGAGCGCGGCGCCGCCGTCGGGCGGGACGCGCTGCTGTTCGGCCACGTGTACGAGGGCGAGGCCGGGAAGGTGAAGTTCGGCGCCGTGTCCGTCGGGGAGGACGGGTTCGTCGGCAGCCGCGCCGTGGCCATGCCCAGCGTCACGGTGGACGACGGCGGCTGCCTCGCCGCGCTCGGGCTGGCCATGAAGGGGGAGACGGTGAAGCACAGCATGTAAGCAGGACGATGACGAGGAGGCATGCATGCATGCATGATCAGTTGCTGTGCTGCTTTTACTCTTCTTTTTCACTTCTTTGAACTTGTTTTATATACGTACGCGAATTAGGATCTTGGTGATCATAATATGGTAGTACTCCTATGATCAATAAGTGACCGTTGGAAGAAGAAATAAATGATCGGTATAATTTGCCTGCATATTTGTAACGGGTTAGATGGAATTATACGGAATATAATGAAACAAATAAATCGACCACCATCGTGGTCAGCATATATATCTGAACAGCATTAGCATTAGCATTAGCAGCAGCAGCAGCATATAAGCAAGATCGGCACCTGCGTCGCTGTCTCGGTGATGGTCTTTTTCCCTGTTTAAACTTCAAAATTTTGTGATGTCTTTGTCTGCCATACGGAAAAAGGGATATATGGGGATCGTTTCGAGTCCATGACCATGTTGGTGATCGTTTCCAAACCAAACAAAGCTTTCCACACTGTTGGCGAAAAGGTTGAGGATACTATTATGAATTTTAAACCGATCTCCTGCTACCGTCCAAAGCAAAGAGAGAAAAAAAAGGAGGCAGGCAATGGCAAACCTGTAAATACGGAGCGGTATCGTGCAACGACTCTGACAGCCTCAACAACACCCAGCCTTCCCCTGCACCAGCTGGCCCTGACGTCAGCAACCGGCAGCGCCGCCGCCAAAGGATGGAATCCCAGGCCCAGCAAGCCACAACCACTGCACGTGGGCCCCACCCCCTCATCTCTCTCCCTCTGCACCGGGGCCCCACCGCATCAGCGCTCGCCACCACCGAGGCAACGTGTCCCTTTCGCGACACTCGAGTACGCGAGACCGTACGGCGTGAGGCACCTGCGCTGCACTGCAGTACTGCACCTCCCCCCCCCCCCCCCCTGCGAAGGTTGGAAGGAGCAGAAAAGGAAAGAAAAGCCTCTTCTACTACTAGTCTTCTTCACCTTTTTTTCCTGTGCGTCTTCCCGTTGCTGCGCGTACACGATTGAGGCGCGGGCGCGCGGCTAGACTCTGGATGGCTCATCCTCATTGTGCCGTCAAGCCGTGCTGCTGCTTCTGCTGCTGCTGCCTCCTCGTCGCCGCCGTGCTCGCCGTCGCCGTCTTTCTGGCCATGTCGCCGCCCGCCGCCGCCGCCGCCGCCGCATCGTCGTCACAACCAGGTAGGTTCAAAAAGTGCGGGGTCTTTTCTTGTAACGTGAGTTCTTGACGACGCGGCTTTTTGTAGCGGCGGCGGCGGCATTGCAACGGGCCGAGACGACGGCGACCATGTACACCGCGAAGGAGTTGCGGGAGAAGCAGGACGTGACCAAGGTCGGTCTGAGCTCAAAAAAAGGTGGCTCTTTTCATGGCTTTCTTGCCCTGTTCGATCGATCTCATGGTGGTGTAGGGTTTCTTGATTTGGGGGGTTGCAGGGCGCGGAGGAGGACGTGACCACGACGACGACGACGACGGGGTTCGGCGCGGAGTCGGAGAGGGAGGTGCCCACCGGGCCGGACCCGATCCACCACCACGGCCGGGGGCCCAGGCGGCAGTCACCGTGAGTGCGAATCCCCCGTCGCCGTCGCCGGGTTAACGAATCGGGCGTGAACCCAGAATCCCATGAGACGCGATGGTCTATGAAAGAAAGATTGTGCTCTTCAATTCGTTTTGCTGAATCTGTGATGCACTTGGGGATTTTATTCAGATTCATTTCTTGCTGTAGGGAACACAGTAGTATGTCTGAAGAACTAGGCAGCTAGCTTACCACCATTATCTTTGTTTTTTGCATACCAAACTAAGGAAAAAAAATACGATTCATAAGTTCTCCCTAAGTTCTTCTTCCTAAGGAATCTTTGCATGCTTCCGGATAGTTCCTCTTTACTCTCTCTTCTTGTATTGTGATGGATTTGAGTTTTGAACAGGGAGCTTGTTCCTGTTCAAGTATTCTGTATGTTGATGCATGATTGATTGTTCAAGTTGAGGAAAGAAGCAGCAAAACTTTTTGTTCCTTTTTCTGTTCATGGAAGGATGAAAACTGCAGCTTTGTTCTGTTGTGTGCAATGAAAAGAGTTCATGTCTAGTCTTCTGATATGTGCTGGCCCTTTTTGAGGCCTGGAGCAGCAGCTTGGTCCAATGTGCATATATCTCGGCTCAGAAGTGCACAAGACTTGATTCGAAATTCTACCTGGTTGCTGCTACTTGCTGGAGTAGCAAGCATGCTTGCCTGTTGTAATGCCTTTCTTGTTGTACTCCACTTTTTAATTTGGTGCAACAAGTCATACAATACTATCATGTTCAACCTTTCATAATCGTATAATGCAACTCCACTGCACAAGAGAATATGGTTGTGTGTTTATATAATTCAGAAAATGGGCATTTTGTGTTAGCTATGAGTGAACTGAGTATCAGTGAGGTGTGAGGGTACGTTTCTTATGTTGTTTGATCTATGTATGTGGTTAGAACCATTTTCAGGTTCCCTTCAAAATTAAGATTTTCAGAACAACTTATCTATAAACTATGTAATCCGTAGCTTTTGATGTACTGCGATTTGCAATATTGCAATGATCAAGGTAGAGAGCATCTGAAGTTGATGTAGAACGTTATATTTAGTTGACACAATGACAGTATGAATTACCTTCTGTTCCATGACATTGCAATTCATGTCGACTACCTGGTTTGATTTCCAGCAATGGATCCAAAAGCTCGCATTCTTGTGATTTACTTGAAATGATTGTAGTTGACGTATTGCAGTTCACCGTTTGCTGACGGTGTACAGCTTACACAAATCACTGAGAGAGCATGTTGGAAACAAACACGCAGTAGAAATGTTTAATGATCAGAGCAGAATTCAAGTATTTTTAGCCAAAAATGGGGGAAATAAATGAAGCATACAACGACCAAGTACTCCTACTAGTACAGAAATAGGTACAGTTTGACTCCTTTAAATGTAGGTCCTATCTGATTCGTATCTCTTAACCACAATACCAGATATCTTAACCCCCTAACCATTAAAACGATGCAATTTAATTTCTATCGACGGGTGATACCCGTAGACCGGATATAGAGAGTATTAGGGTACGCTGGTACAAGGGTCTACGTAATACGACATCAAGCAGACAAAAGACGAAGATTATACTGGTTCAGGCCCCTTGATAGGTAATAGCCCTAATCCAGTTGATGTGAGATTATATGATGGAAAACACAGGTTACAAAGGGAACAATGGAACTCGATGGATCCGACGAGATCGTAGTCGAGTTGGTTCGACTAGATCCTCGGCGATTTGGCTCCTGCAGGCTCCGACTTCGTAGGCTGTGGGGGTTGTATTGGCTCTGAGATTCGATGCCTTAGGTCCTCTCCGGGGGGTCCCTTTTATATCGCAGATCAGGCGGTTTCCCAGTAGAACTCGGAGACATCAGACCTTACACGATACATTGACGACCCAGTCTTGTCCGAGTAGAACTCTTTCTATCCGTAAACTCCGTGAAGGATTTCCTTAATGTATGCAGAGAGTATCCATATGCGCGTGGGTATGCCATACCGATATGCGACGTATATCGAAGGGTAGAGGGTGTACCTAACCCGTAACCCTGACAGTAGCCCCCGACTTCTGCTTAAATGAACTCGTGTAACCATTCGCGACTTCTCGTGTCTAAGGCTGTTGTCGTTCCCGGTGTGAGGACCGTAGAGACAGGACGTAGTCGAGAACACCATGTGAAGCCCAACGGTCACGAGTGAATTTAAACTGAAGTCCAAAAAACTGCCGCGCGTAACGGACCCAGAAATTTCCGGCGGCCATCTCTCTCCTTTCCTTGGAATTCGCACCGTCGGTAGTGCGTCTATTTAAAGGAATTTTGGGGATCCATTTTGAAGTCCGCCTATTGTGAAGAGAACATCCCGCCTGCAAGCGTTCTTTGTCTTCTCCGCTCCCACAAGAAACCCTAGCTCGTCAACCTCCACCCTTTCTCCGGCGATCTCCGATCGGCGATGGATCTCGGCAAATCATCCTCCACCAGCGCGTCGCTGAAGAAGCTTCAGGAGGACGGCGCCCTTCCTGGTCGTGGAACCATGGAAAGGGAAGCAGGAGGTACTGAACCCCAGCCCGTCTTAGGTCGCATGGTTGCGATCGAGGACTACGTTCTCTGCGGTTTTCTCCCTCCACCTTCCGAATTTCTTCTCTTGGTTTTGAACTTCTATGGTCTTTCTTTGCTCCATCTGAACCCCGATTCTATAGCCTTCCTTAGTATTTTTTTACATCTTTGTGAGGCCTACATTGGGGTAGAGCCCTTTCTCGATCTCTTCCGCTTCTACTACGAGTTGCGTTGGATGTAATCCAACAGGGTATCAGGATGCGTTGGATTCCGACTTCGGGATGGCCTGAAGTCGCGTTATATCCCCTTCCAGTGTCCCTCCTCTCGCAGCAAATGGCGGACGAGGTGGTTCTATCTTCAGATAGAAGATTCGGACCCTGTCTTCGTTGTTCCTGAGGAACAACCAGACAAGATTTTGTCTTGGACCGCAAAACCCCCTTTGACCCCTTCTCTTCAGTTGTTTATCGATGTCGTCGTCGATCTCCGAGTGCGAGGTTTGTCGGGGTATGAAGTCGCTGCTAACTTCATTGGTAGACGGATCCAGCCGCTCCAGGCTCGGGCCCACCCAGCCTTTGACTATTCTGGACCAGAGGACGCGACCCGGGTTTCTCCTCGGGATATCTTTCTCGCATTTATCCCGATATGCTTGTGTGCGCGTTCCTCCTGGCTCATCGAAACTTGGTTCTCGATTCACAGGTCTGAGCAGCGAAGCTATGGGACGTCGTGTCAGCTAGGTGATGATCAGTGGCCCGACGACGGCGAGTGATGTCCCCGTTCCCCTTTGCGAAAAGGGGGCGGCCGAACGCGATGCCGCCATCAATGTAAGTGTACTCAGTAGTCATTCCGCGTTTTTCTTCCGAGATCGCTTTGTGACTTTATGAAGCGTAGGCTCTTCCTCTGACTGACATCATCGGGCTGCTCGTGGACCATCAGGTGGAGGCGTCACTGAAAGAGAAAGTCGCCAAGGAGGCATCCGATGCTGCTGCGCTGCTGCTACCACAAGTGGTGGCAATGTTCCCACAAAGGAGAGGAAGTTCTCCTCTGTAAGCGGACATCGTCGCAAGGCATCTGTCCCCTCGGTAAGCTATCCTGTTGTCTGATCATACAGCCAGAACAATTTCGCCTTACTTCGCATCAACCGTTCTCCAGGCCTCGGACGCGTCTCCCCCGCCTCCATGACGACAACAACTTGTGACACTTGGCGAGAAGTAAGTGGATGAATTTAAGTTTTCGCGATTTTGTTCGAGCGTTGTCTGAGCCATGGCTGTCTCATAGGGCGGCGCGGGTGAAGGCAGTGCAGGACGAGTCCAGAGGGACTTCCGGCGCGTCTCCCGCTGTAGCCTCGACGGATGTCGTGCTTGCGCCCGGGAGCCGCGAGGTGACACCAAGCGGCCCAGCCAGCGATCCCGCGGCTGGTCGTGGTCCACCGGCTGCCGTCCTCACCTGGGAGGAGCTCCAGGTCGAGATGGGGCGTCTCCTCAAAGCTGGTGCTCGCGGCATTGGTCGCGAGATTTCCGAGGCGAGGTCGGCAGCGGCGTCGGCAAACGAGCGTGCCGACCGGCTGGCACATGAGCTGGCGGAAGCTCGTGAAGACCTCAAGAAGATGAGGGAATTGGTGGCCGGCAACGAGCGACAACGGCAGAGGCTCGAGCACCGCATGTCGGAGCTCGGGAACAATTTGTCGGAAATCCGTGGCTCGTTGCGGGTCACCTACACTGGTCTGCACCAGCTCGTCGGGGAGTGCGGCATTAAGTCTACCATCCCGGCGAATCTCGATGATTTCTTGCTGACATCTTCTCTAGCGGAGCTGGCGGCGGCGATGGAGGAGATTCCCTCCAAGCATGCGGTCAAGATCGGAGAGGAGACGTCCAACGGGATCTACACCGGGGCGTGCCACGTCCTTGCGTGTGTGAGGCTGGCGCATCCTGAACTCGATCTGCGCGAGATCTTGGATCAGGGGGCGGCTAGCGATACGCGTAAGGAGGTGATGGAAGAAGTCAACGATCTGGGGGAATCTGTTCTCCCAGGTTTTGAAGAGTAGGATCTCTTGTATCCCTTAGACATGCTGTGTAAAACTTTAATAGATTTCAACCGCCTTTGTGCGTGCAGTCATTATCCTAGCTTTCTCTTGCATTTTGATCTTGAGTACTCTTTGTCCCTTGTAGAGATGTTGATGACGAGGATGTCCAGCAGCGCGGGCAGCCTGAGTCACCGGCGATCATTCCGGCTCTCGCGTTTGAACCACATGCGTCGCTAGACAATATAGACTAGATCCTAGCTACGAGGACGGAGACGGCGACGACTTCTTTAGGTTAGTGGTCCCCTTGTCCCTTTTTTGCTCCTCCGACTAGATCGGCCGTGTTCTCGAAAGAGAAGTGAAGCTTGACTAAGTTATTCCCACATTGAACAGATCTTGAGGGTGCTCTTGCTGGGCAAGATCGTCGTATCCAATATTGGAAGACGAAGTTTGAAGTAGCGGAACTCGAGAGGACAATGCTGGCAGTAAAGAAGGAGCAAGCTGTGGAAACGCTCCGAGGTCGTGAGGTGTGGTTCAACTCGTACTTGAAGAGTTGCTACACATCCATGGCCAAGGTCTGTAGAGAGCTCCGAGTACCCCGTGGGGATCCCGAAGAGTTGGCGGCCGGATATATCTCGTGGCTGAACGGGGCCTGTGCTCAGCTTGAAGGCGTCGGCAAGCGCATCGACGAAGCCTTGAAGCAGGAGTGTCGTCGATCGAGCCGATATGCCGGAGGGCACGTGTTGGCCTGCATACGAGACCATCGCCCGCGACTGGACCTCGATTTTCTCCGTGAAGGTTTTGCTCGTTCTCGGAGGACTCCGGCGGAGATAGACCACCTGGCGAAGTCGATGGTGTCGTTGGCGGAGAAGGTCTTACAATCTATGGACTGGCGTTGGCCT